CTACCGCCCATCTCGATCCCTCACGAAACACGATACTCGTCGGATCCAAAGGCATACCAGTCCACCACCACCTCTCAGCAGATGCCTCCTCCATCTTCTCTCGCCATTCCAGCTCCATACAACCCAAGCACGGCAAACGATATCATAGAGCCAGCAACGCCAACAGACCAGGCACAGTCCTCTCACTCCACCTCCAGCTCACAGCCACAGCAACCAACCTACGATCCCACCCCCGGAAAAGGCTGGTCCTACCGCCCTGAACCCCTTCTTTCCTCCAAACGAGGACACAGTGACGTCTTTGGCGCCGCCCAGCACACCCAGCCGCTCCACCACGGCAAGAGGGCAGATTCGATCGTTACACCATCTAGTTCGTCTGTTGGTGCGCGAGGAAGCCTCCTTTCTCGTATCGCACGCCTACAGGATCTCGACGACGATGAGAATGGTATCACCGGTATGACCTACAAGCGAGCAGACGGACGAGTAGCCACCAGGATGGCAGGCCCTGCTCGAGTATCTTAATAAGAAGACAACAAAAATCGCTGATGACTGGGGAGAACAGTTTGATTCTCCTCTGGTCTTCCTTTTTTTTTTTCGCTCTTTCCGCCTAATGTGCCATATACCAACAGTACTATTATATATCCAGACCGACGTTGGACCTCATTTCTTCATCTAAGTGACCAGATCTTGTCTCGTCTTCTTTTATCCTTTGCTCTCTTTCGTTTATTTTTTCCAAGTCTCAAAAAATCTCTTGGGGGAAACGGTGGTATTTTGCCCTTCTACTTCGGCTTCAGCTTTCAGTCGGCTCTCTCTCTCTCTTTGTCAGATGTTCTATATGCTTTGGCTCCTTTTTCCTTTTGGCTCTTTCGATCATATTAGCTCTACTATGATCGTTGCTAGCAAACCGAACTTGGCTTCCCTACACGTCTGTCTGATCTTTTTTTTTACCCTCCTCTCCGTTGACTTGTTCTTCTCTTTTTGGCTTACTTTTCTGTCTTGATTCCCTTTTTGCCTTTCTTTCTATGATATCCCAACCCTTCCCCCATAACCGATTCCCTTCTTCGCTTCTACTTGCTCCCTTTTTATCCTTCTCAGATATATTTACCCCCTTCCTATCGCCTACTTTTTTCCTTGCCCTATTCTTCATATCTATTTATATATCCATACATCTATATACAGGCGCAGACACCCTCTGAACAGACTGAGGAAACACAGAAGACGAAAGAGAATGAAATATCTACGGTCAATCAGATGAAGGAGGCTGGAGTCTAATCGAATCGAACGAATTTGAAGATACAAAAAGAAGTCAAAGAAACCAGGTCAAATTGGACGGGAGAGGCCTTTGAACGCTTGCCTTTGTTTTTTCCCTTTCCTAAATCTCTGAATATATACATCCCGAGTGTTTTATCTCCTTTTGCCAGTTTCCCCGGTGTTTCTTCTGTCTCTGCCTCGTTGGACGCTCTGCTTAATACTGCCTACCTTCGTCCTCTTCGTCTTCCGCGTTGTCTTGTGTGTGTTTAGGTATATCTATCATATCGTATATTTGAACAAATGGGAATATAAGAAAAGACCAAAAACATAACATTCACCATCTAACATCTTATATAAATCCAACATCGTCTTGCCACTGTGTAATTGGCTGCCCTGCTATGCCTTTTTTTTCCCTTTTCCTTTCCCTTGTCCAGCCAACAACTTCAAAACTAGCCGCGCCGAGCGCTAACCTTTTCTCGTTCGCCTACTTAACCCCGACACTTCGTTTCTTCTTCTTCTTCTTCTGCTTCCTCCATACGAGCGCGCGGGGGGTCGAGTTAGTTGGGGGCTTATGGAAATACATAACATAGCAAGATAGAATAGAAGAGATGCCCTTTTTTTACCTTGCCGTTGACGGTTGAATGGACGTTCTTTTCTGACAGACGTTGGCCTCTTCAACGCCTCTTTTTTCACCACCACCAACAACAACAACAAGCAGCGGCCAGAGAGAAAGACAGAGACGGACGAGAATCAGCTCAAGCCGTCTTCTTCCTACTTACTACTCTTCTATCTTCATCGTCTTGCTTCTCGACAGATTCTTCCTTGGGTTGGTCCCTTGGCCGTTCCACAAACCTGCCACAACCCGCCAACAACGCCAGAAACCGGCCTGAAGGAGGTGAAACCAAGGGCGAATCAAGTCGAGGCCGAGGTCGAGTACTTACTCGCTTCTTCATACACCAGATAGATTATTGTCTGCTTGGTCGGCCGTTGTCGTTGTTTACTTGCTGGTAAGCTGAACTTCTCTTCACGCGTTGCTTAGTTAACTTGTGGAAAAGTAAACAAATAAACGTAACAAAAGCCAATTAACTTCAAAAGTCACTAATTCTATACGAACTTCCCATTCTCTAGTTGAACATAAATAGAGCGTGGATGGTTTATAGATAAGACGACGACGACGGTCAGGATGCCTCGACGGGCGAAGAAGGTCGATGTGAGTGGCTTTTTCTCCTCTTGTTTGTTTTGGTTATCTTGTTCGCGTTACGTCCGTTGAAGGAGAGCAGAAGACATCCTTGTTTCTCGAGCTTCACGGAACCAGACATGGATGGGAAGGCGAGCATGCACAAAGATTCCAGCATAATTTACATATTCCTTGGTTATTATTCCCTATCACCTTGATAAAACAGGGAACTATTTGGCGTTTATTCTTTCATGGTTGCACTGGTTGCTGGTACATCGTTAACGGACTATTGAGCACAGGGAGATGCGTTCACTGCTGATCGCCAGCTGGAGGACACGCTGCAACAGTCAGCTGCAGCTGATGCTTTGCTGGAAGACGATGAGCATGGAAGCCGGTACTACGGCAGAAAACATAGGCCTGTGGTGACGGGGCCTTCAAAACGCAAGACATACCCCCTGGCTGAAGATGATACCCCTTCTACCTCAGCGTATCATCACCGCGAGACCAGCAGAGAGCGCTACAGTGTTGATGTAGCCAACACGTACCCGCCATCATCTCAGAAACGGGCCCGGTCGTCTAACGACTGGTCAGCCAGAGGCGGAGAGCCTGACTCGAACGGTCCGACTGCCCGAGAGCTGCCGGAACCGCCGACTCTTCGTTCTCGCAGAGGACAGGACGTGGCAGAGTTCAAGGAGAGACAGGAACGCCAGTCTCGATTCCTAGAGGGCAGTATGAACGACAAGGTCAGCACGCAGCCACCGTCTGCCTTTATAGGGGAGGACCAGGAGTACCTTCTCTCGACCTATATGAATGAACACAACGGTGTCAACAGTGCTCGTGCAAACGGATGGCAGTCTACTGTACAGACGCCCGTAACTCCCACGCTGCATGGCAAGAAAACGTCTCTATCTTCAGTCAAGACGGTTGATGCCGATGCTGCCGACTCCAAACAGTCGAGTGTTTTCCGGTTTGGAAAAGCAATTGTTTCTGCATTCAACCCTATCGGTGTATGGGGGAACGTCTCTGAAATCTGGAAGGGCCATGATTCGTCGTCCAAGGAGTCAGGCTCTCGAGAGATGCTGGCGGACATGCCTCATGCTGCGCGCATCGAAAAGGCATACGAGGAATATAAGGCCTCTGCTGCCTACAGGAGCGTCACCCCATCCACCGCTCCGTTATATAGATACGGCTACTCGGGGGATGATACCACCAGCCCAACAAAA